TCGCCAGCTGGCTATCGTGTCCTCCAGCTATTCGGGAAACTGTCCCAGCCCACCATGCTGGCACTGCGGGCATGGGACCTGGGTCTGCACATCATTTGCTTGGTTTGCTTTCATCCTCCAGCTTCCAACAGAGAGGCACGGCAGCCCTTTAGCTCGGGCTTATATTAGGTGAGCTTGCATCAAGTGAAAAGTTGTGGCGATCCTAAAACCGAGGATTCTGCAATCAAGTGGTAAAAGTAACTCCAGCAGCCTCTGGCAGCTACAATAATCAGGCTTTCCTCAACACAGCTTTGGCTAAATCCTAAAATAACAATGTCACAGGAATCCTAGAAATGCTAAATCTGCAGTTAAGCAATCTAATTTCTGCTGTGTGGGCAATCAGTCCTCACGCTTCAGGCCACTGACGGGACATCAGGCTAGAGGAGAAAGGCACCCCTTGTCCACACTGCTTCACAGCGTGACACGAGGCAGCAAGCATCACCATTCCCCCCATCTCCTCTGGGAGCGTTTGCTATCCTCCGCTTTCTGAGGCAACGCGCTGCGCGACCTAGAGCAGCCCTCTGGGCCGGCGTAGCAACTCGCGGCTCTCAGCTGTGCTCTCTGCCTCCATTCTCGGCTCTACCTGCTTTTGCAGACATCCCTGCGCTGGGTTCTGCTTCCTGGATGGTGGCTGCCAGCGCTTCCGGGGGATGACAGCCAGATTTTCATGTGTACGAGAGAGACGGATGTGCCGGCCGTTGCATTTTCCAAGAAAGAGGTGTACAGTACAGCTTCTCCTTTACAAGATTAAACAATTCTAAGAATGTACCCTTGTGTGGCTCATATCCTCTGGCTTTGTAAACACAACCTGTGCTTTCCTGTAATGTCTTCAGTACACGTTTTCTACGCTCTGTTCCTAACATCTCAAGCCAGTCCTCTTTGCCAGTTTGTCCGGAAAACAGGCAAATGGAAATAAGCAATTGGGCTTCTAGAAGCTTGCATAAGAATCTGCGTGCAAGTGCCGAGCTCTGGCGAAGGAGGCTCTGAGCCCAGGAATGTACCTACTTTCTCCTTCCTGTATTTAGCTGACTAAGATTCCTAAACAGTGGCTCCACATCTTAAATTATAGGTTAGGACTGGAGCGCTCAGCCCACAGTTTGGATCTCCTGTGTAATTCAGCTGCAGCTAAATTCAAATTTTTCCAGGAGTTGGCCCTGTCTCTCCCAACACCTCATACTCCTCCTCCCAAGATCCTTATTCCCAGCTGAGGGACTGGATGCCATTGCACGACCCAGGTGAGCTGCTCAGGACTGAAGTAAACAGCTCCTTCCCCGACGCGGTTCTTCCTCAGCTCTCACAGGCTGCTAAGACTGGTGCAACTCTGCGAAGCTGCCTATGTGAAAAGAGGCAGAGCAGAATGCGGGAGCCGGTCAGACTGTTTTCCTTTACTGTATGCACTAATAAAGAATAAATGACAAGAGTGATGTTAAGACATTTATAAAAGCAGTGTATATGGTAGCTGTTCGCATGGTTTTGCAAGATTACGATCTGCCTCCAATATGTCCTCTTAGCTTTGTTTTTGGAGGTAGCTAGAATCCCTCTTTATCAGCTGCAAAGCTGGTGGAAATTGCTGACCAGAAAAGGATGCTATGGAAAAAGCAAAAGAATTGGAGGGCCGCTGAAATGCAGCACTAAAGAACAGTAATGGGCAGGACAACCACTAACACTGCTAAGCAAATACTCTTCTACTTGAGAGGGAACAGTAAAATTCATGGGTATGCCTGCACAAAAAACGTTCTCCTGTGGCTTGGTCACATGCAATCATGAGCAAAACTGAAGCTGTACGTTTCCTATGGTAGGGAGAATAGTTTTTGACAGAACGGGATGTGATGGAAGGTGTCTGGAATACACATTAAAAAAATTAAAAAGTTCATGGTCTCAGAGGAAAAAGAGAGCAGACCCTTTCAGACAGGCAGAACTGATGAAGCACAGTGTTTTTTCAGATTCATAAAATGTGGTAACTGGCCAGTTGGCTACTTCATCTATGGAGAAGGGGCCAAATTGCCTCTTCCTTTCTTTCAGTGAAGGTGCAAATCTGAGTCTGCTGCCCTTGTGCTGCTGCCGGATTTATTTACCACGGAACCTGAAGGAAACGGATATGGGTTTAATCTGTCATGCGTGGTGGTAAATCAGCAGATTTACAAGCTATTGATTGATAGAGGGAATAATTGTGTGTGTTGTTTCCTTAAACTCTATGATCATAAAAATAGCCTAGCTGCTATTGAAGGAGTCACTAGTGATTGAGCAAGTGGGTCTAGTCAACCAAGCAGTTTCTCTTTTATCATAAAACATGTAATAAATTTAATACCTTTTTTGGCACAAATCAGTGACTGACTGTAAGATCACTGAAGATAAAAATCTGACTTGCAGTGTACAAGTGGTTTTAAAATTCCAGTTCTTAAACAACAGTCCATGATCAAAGTAGCATAGTTGCAGGGCACACTGATTAGAAGCTGGAACATTAATTACAGCTAAGGATCAAGCATACCTCTTACCTACACTTCAATAAAAAGCAATAAAGAAGCAAAGATTTGTCTTAAGGCCAAAATGTCCTGAATTACTACTGACGAAGCACAGATGTTTATAGCACGGAGACATTTCAGTACCTCATACGGCATTTGTTCTGCTCTAAACGTTAGCCCTGCTTATTTGGGAATGGTGCAAGAATAAAGGCCTACCTGAAATGAGTAGACAGCATAGGCAACCACATTTTAGATAACGTACGTTAGTGAGTATAACCCGCAGTAAGGAGGAGGAGGTCTGGCTTTGCTGGTAAAGGTGGCTGTTCCGTGGCCAGGCAGCCTGGGAGGCACCGCTCCATCAGCTGCTGTGGTTGAAGTGCCGAGCCTTATACAACACCACGAGACATCAGAGTAGTCCTATCACAAAATTCTACCTACACTTAAGCACAAGTTGGTTTTCAGTTGGCAATCTCTGATCTGGTCACTACTAGTTAAAGGCTTTATTTCCACAAGAGATAGAAGAGATTAAAATGCCTCAGGCTGAGCAGCGGGGTAGAGGGGAAAGATCCAGGTTTGTGCCTTCTTTGATGGAAAGGTGGATGAGCAGTGGTGATCTGAGTCATCCAGCTTTAATACGGTCTGTCCGGAAACAATAGAATAAGATACAACACTTGAGACAACACTTCTAAAAAGTGGCAAAACTGCAACACAACTAGCCTATGCAACTCATCAGCACAGTTTATCACAGCCCATTGCTGCAGGATTTGGAAGGATTAGATAGGTGAAATGCTAGAAATGATAGTTTCTCCATTAGCATGAAAATAAACATATGCTATAAAGTTTCCAGACTTGCAGATGTCCCAGGCCTTCAGCTGGGACAGTTCAATAGAGGCAGATTTTTCCAAAAACCATTCTCTAGATTGCCTTGCATTTTTATATGAAAGACCTTAGACCAGAATCTGTCAGAACTAATATACCACATTAGATGAAATGAACTAGTGCAATGAAAACATTTATATTTAATGTAAACCCATCTCCGGCCATTGGTAATGAAGGCCTGATCCAAAAAAAGCCTCCTGAAGCCCCTAAAGAATAAGATTATTCCTTGAGATGGAGGAGTCTTTCACAAGATTATTTGTACAGATGTAAGTCCCATGCAAAACATTAAGAAATACATACAAGTTCATCTCTAACAAAAGTTAACTGACTCAGCCAAAGGCAACTGCAAGCTTTCTCACTTTCCTCTATTCCACCCTTCTCCCAAGTCGGCAATTACACCATTCCCCTATATGTGAGAGACTGCCTTTCTTCACCTATTCCTTCTGCTTTTATTACTGACCAAACTGGAAACTGGCCCTGGTGTTTGAGAAGAGATGCAACTCGATAATCAACATTTCCTTGCTTGGTGGGGTTTAGTTTATAGCTTCAGGAGACAACCAGGAGCCGTGTTCACGCAATCTCTCAAGGCTGCAAAGAGGAGAGGAAATTCAAGGATCAGGCCCATCCCCCCATTTTCAGGCTCTTCAACAAAATGGAAAAAGTTAGAAAAAAGCAGGTGTGTTTTTTTTTAAATCTGTACTAAGGTAATGTGTCACCATACTCTAAATGTTCTTCTTTCATACACTTCAATGGTAGAAGTCAAACAAGCTGACTGTTTGCAAAAATCAGCCTTCACAGAGAAAACACTTTTGAGAATATATTTCTGTTTTGCATAACTAGTCATCACTTGGACTTGAGCTCACAAGACCTGTAAGCTGAGCCCCACTGCTCTGTGGCAGTCTGAGGCCTGAGCCTCGTGCAGCTCACTGCCGAGACAGAGGTCCGAGGTTACTGTCCTCAGTAACTGCAGGCTTGTAGCACTCATGCCAGAGCTTTTTGCCTGCTGCCTGCCTCAAATCGTTCCTTGCAGATTCAGGCAGGGACAAAGCAGTGAACATGTTGGAGGTTCTCACTGCTCCACGCCTTGCACTTCTGTGACGCTGCCCGACTTGCCCCGAGTGAAAACTAGCCATTGACTGCGCCTGAAAGGCTTTTAGCTGCCGTGGTCTTCATTACATCCTACTAACAACTAGGAATGGGCCTTGGCAAGGGCCAAGCATGCCTTTGGGAGGCTCCCACAGTGAAAGCAGCAAAGCATTTGAACAAGTGTTTCGTTGTCTCTCTCCATTAAGCAGACAGTATTGCATCGTCACTGCTGTAAATACTTTCGCATGCCAAATTGTGCTGTTTTGCCTCTCAGCCCTCACTCAACATCTGTAATAAATACAGGCAAGCACAAGCAGCTTTGAATTTTAAGTAACCTTTCAGCAGTGCATGCTGGAGCAGGAAGTCCTCCCCTGAGCCTGAACAGAAGTCAGTCCAGTCGTGTCTGGTAGCAGCCAGCCCGGATGGGACACTGAAATGCAGAGCAGGTGGGACAGGGTACGGTCCCCTTACCCCAGAATAATCTCCCACCAGCCTACAGCTCTGGGAGTGAAAGACAGAGAGGTTGACCCCGCTATGTGTCTTCAGCAGCCCTTCACAGATCTTTCTTCCACGAACGTGGAAGGGCAGACCAGTGCCTTTAGTTGCTGCCGCATGATGCAGCAGCTACGAGTTTCACACCTTATCATTCAGCAGGTGGTGGAAGAGCAGCTGCCTGTTTGATGGCAAACTCCTGGGCAGCCAAGCCAGTGCCTGCTGTAAAAGGGCACCTTGGAGGGAGAGGAAGGAGAGCGAGTGCTGTGGTGAGAAGTCGTCCTTCCCAACAGCACCTATTGCCAGTCCTGCTTCTTGTCTTTCCTTGGCATCAGGAAAATCAACAAATCTGACATCCTCTCTTCACACCCTGTCTCATTTCCAGATGTCTCTGGCATCTGTTTTCTTCATAGGAGAAGCAGCATGGTCTTGGCCCTTCAGTTGGAGGTAGCAAAATTCACCTCTTGGCATTTGCTGCTGGCAGACAGCAGTGCAGCAGAGCAGGTTGACTCACCCCATTTCAGTTTTCCTTTAAGGGAATCAGACATCCCTGCCACAGCAGAGCAATGCCTATGAAAAGGCAGAAGAATAGTGTTGCCACGTGTCACTGAGAGCCACCACTTAGAGCTGCCGTCTCATTACACAAAGTGTGGCAACATTAAGATGTTTTCAGCACAATTTCAGTGATCAGTCATATGATTTCAGTGACCAGTCTTATGCTTTTTTTGCTTGGTTTGGCCTACATGTATTTTGCTTGCCAATGGCTAATGGAAAATATGACTGTTTTGAAAAACGAGCTTACTCCGAATTTCTGCAAAGATGAGTAAACAGAAGTGCAGCACACAATACAAAAATGCCACTTGGACTTATTAAGAGGTTTCTTGGGCTCATCTTAAACTGGAGCAAAAAGACGTATAAAAATGTACACTAAAGCACAGAATCACAGAATGGCAGGGGTTGGAAGGGACCTCTGTGGGTCATCTAGTCCAACCCTCCTGCCGAAGCAGGGTCACCTACAGTAGGCTGCACAGGACCTTTTCCCGGCAGGGCCTGAATATCTCCAGAGAAGGAGACTCCACAGCCTCCCTGGGCAGCCTGTTCCAGTGCTCCGTCACCCTCAGAGGGAAGAAGTTCTTCCTCATGTTCAGACGGAACTTCCTGTGCCTCAGTTTCCCAGCTCCCTCAGCCTGTCCTCGTAGGAGGGATGTTCCAGTCCCCTCACCATCCTCGTAGCCCTCCGCTGGACTCTCTCCAGTAGCTCCTCATCTTTCTTGAACTGGGGAGCCCAGAACTGGACAGAGTACTCCAGATAAGCACCTACTGGTTCTTAGCCACACAGCAAATCATCTGTCCAGAACTGGGAATACCAGCAGACAGTCCTGAGTTATCGCCTTTCAGATTGTGATACCACCAATGGTAAGCTGACTTGAGGTGAAAGTCAGATCTGAACTCCTGCTCTGCTGGGCCATCAGGTATTCAAACAGCCCCTTGGTGGTTGACCAGCTCTGCTCAACCAAAAAGCTCCCTTCCACTTGAGTAAGGGCTTTTATCAAATGGCTGTTGTAGGAAAGCCCTTACTCTCTAGATTAGAGATTCTGAAATAATTTTCATATCAAATATGTTCAGTTCTACTTTGTAAGGACTCTAGTATTCTTTTTCTCAGACCCACAGAGAATTTTTTGCTTTGCTCCTTTTTCCAGTCTCATTCCACATTCGCAGCAGTTTGAAGAAAAGTACACAGCACTTTTTTATTCAGAATTCGAAACACAGGTGGTCTGGGGAGGTAAGGGATGGTTAGACCGGATGAACTCCAGCACAAACCTTGTGCATATCACAGGGACTCTATAGCATTGCAGGAGAGGTGAGCAGGAGACTGAAACTATGTTTATTCTTTCTCTTCTCCCATTAGACTCCCAAAGGTTCCTGTTTGGAGTCGGTGAAGGTTGCCATTGATACTGGTTACCGCCACATCGACGGTGCTTTTGTCTACTACAATGAGCATGAAGTGGGACAAGCCATCCGGGAGAAGATTGCTGAAGGAAGGATCAAGAGAGAAGACATTTTTTACTGTGGCAAGGTGAGAAGCTGCGCTGAGATTATTTCCGCTAAATCCAGGATTTCTGCGAATGGGCTTTCTTAAGAATGCCAGTGGTCAGCCTCTGGCATGCTTCCAGATCCAACATCCTTTATTTTTCTTTCCTAGGAGTACCATAATGCCACAGAGCTTTATGAGCACTTAGGGTTGCTGTTAAGCACAGGAATCACTGTTGTTCTCAGTTTAAAGCTCTGTTAGCAGTGGGAACTATGCAACCTCCATTCTGCCTAGTATTGTAGGTACCTGCAAGTTTAGACCATTGCTAGACTCAGCGGTGCTGCCTAAGCTGTTACTGTCCCGTGTGCTGTGCTGGCATGCACATTTGTACAGTCACACAGTGAGCCAAATCTAGACAATGAACCTGCAAATGACTTATTTGCTGCTAGAGCAATTCCCTGTACAGGTTTGCTGTGAGATTGCACAGTGAAAAGGGTGGGAGCAAGCACATGAGTGCAAATGGCTCTGCACAGGAGAACAGCAAGTTCTCACATTGGTAATACTGCCAGAAAATTACTCATCAAGCTACGCCCTTAGTTACTGTATCACCTGTTATTAAAAAGTTCTAGGATGATGAATCACCTTACTTGGAGAGAAGATGTCATCACACTTCTGCTCTAGAACAAAGAGGCCAGAGTAATGCACGAGCTAGTTAGTGCTTTAAAGCCTTAGCTGTAAGAGTTGATCCTCTCCTAGAAGAATGAAATCCCTTGTCTGATGAAGTGTCTGACAAAAGCTGTTACAACTACAGGGACTGTATCCCAGGTATAAGAGAGCGAGCTCATTGCAGAATAAAGATCAGATGGCCCCAGAAAATTCACAGTGCCTGTCCAGTTTCTGACAGAGTTTACGGCCTCAAGTTGCCCTTCCTGCAGTGCTTCTTCGAACATATCAGCCTAATATTTTCCCTTCCTCCTTTCCCAAATAAGACGTAATCCACAAAAGTTACTCAACAACCTTGGAAATAAATAACATGGTTCCTAGAGCGAAAGATCCCATGGGATAAAAGGCCCATTTTACTGTGAGCAATTTACTTAAGCTCTGTGATCTGTGAAACTAAGGTTCGGAACAGGTATTTTGCAGACCAAGTGGATTTTCAGCAGCTATAGACCAATTTCCAAGTACAGCAATTCCCAATCTGTAAAGCGTGCAACTCTCTTCCAAGTTCCCTGCTTGGTTCTACTTGTAACAACCTTGCCATCCTGAGCAAAGCTTCATGTCCTCAAATTTTCCACCTTTATCAGGGTAGTCTCTCATATTCCAAATATGTTGATTTCAATCAGTCAAAATATTTTGTTTCTACAGTTTTATAGTTTCATTACTGCAAATTACCAGTAATATTTCAAATCAAAGCCACAAAGTTGTGGCAAAAGGTTAGAACCAGATGTCCTAGCAATTTTGAGTCTTTTAACTTTCCCAACTGCTTCCCCTGCAGTTTATTTTCCCATATAAACTTTTAAGTTCTGTGAAAGCGCATCTCTCGGTAAAATTTCCAAACTTACTTTATTAAGCCTTTCGATATTCGTTTGTCTGATATAATCACTAGATGATTTTCCTAGTTGATAACCACCACTCAAACATTGAGACATCTGTGAAACTACATTTGACTTCTTGATTGTAAGTTCAGCTGTTCCCTAAACTGCAGATCCTGCAAGCCACAGAGCTGCAGCACACAGTACCATGAGAGTCAATGCCTATGTTTCCAGCCTGCTTCGTGACTGTGAGATGGGACACGCGTGGATTTATCTTTCTGTTGTGTCCTGTTTATGCTTGACAAAAGTTCAGGCGCTCACGGTGACAGTTTGTCAGAGCATCTCTGTAGACTTTGAAGAGTTCAAAGGCAGAAGCATAAAATATTCTGCAACGAATTAATTCCATCACAATTGAGGATCTTCACAGGTTTCACTGAGCATTTTTACAGCAGCTCAGAACTTCCCAGGAGGAGTGGGACTGGATGTTTCTTCCCTTATGACCTTATGTTTTCCTTAGCTTTACGTACCTCACAAATTAATGTATCTTGTGAACTACAGGCAAATATCAAGCCACCAGTAGATCCAGGATCCATTTATTGGTAACTGGCTGATAGGAACTGTTGCATCTTCTGGGAAACATGGTAGATAGAGCAGACCATTCTTGGAAGCAGTCTGCACAACAAATATTGGTTGTATTTTCAGCCTTATTGACATCAGAAGCACTGGAAATCCCTAAGACCCTTTCAACTCAAGCCCCCCATGCAGATCTTTCCTTAAACAATGACGATACAAACTGAAGGCTGGTCGGTCAGCAGGGAGTAACAAGAACAGCCCGGCTGAGTGGCAGCGTTACTGGAATAGTGACTTGGTGCAATCGGGCTGCATCTGCCAGTTGAAATCATCAGCACTTGCACTTGGCTCTTGCTGCTGGCTGGCTGATCAGGCAGAGCAGCTCAGCATCCAGAAATTTTAGAGGTTTTATGTCAACTGCCAACATCTCACTTGGCTTATACAGCAAGACCTTTCTGGTCTCCTCTTTCATCCCAGGATATTTCTTTCATTAAATTAGAAGCAACATTTCCAGGAAATGTGGTGTCCTGAAATGCCAAAGCCAGCTGGCAGCTCTGACTGCTCAAATGTCTGCATGGGTTCTACTTAGGTAGATCATACAATGACTTGTACAAATCATGAAAACAGTTACGAAACTCTGAAGTTTCCATGGCATCTATGTATTAACATAGTACAAATGTTTGCTATTTCTAAAGGATGTTTCTTTAGAACCTCTGCAGTTTTTTTAAAGGAAAGTATATTCACTGGCAAGTACTGAGCTCAACAGCACTGGGCTAGAAAGGGGGCTTGGAAAAACTGCGTCTAAACTATCAACATACCTCAGGTTACTCCATTTCTAAAACACAGTAATGACACAAGCTAAACATGAAGGGTATGCAGATTCATTTCCTTACCTATATTTAAGTCCAAAACAACATCTCACTTTACATGTAAAATGCTTAAAAAACACAGAGAAAGGAAAGCCAGTGGAACAGCTTAAAACTCTAAGAGCAGGACCTTGGTCCCTTTACCGTAGTATACCTCACCCTGCATAACCACCATCTAGCGATCATAAACTCATCACACCTTGCAACACACAGCTAGGGAAGGCCTAGTATGAATTTCCAGGTGCCAAACCCTATTTTGGTTTGTCAGCTTAGGGCAGGGTCAGATGTGCTGCTCTCAGTACAACTGAACTTCAAGATAACGTGCCCTTACCTCTGCTGGCAGAACTGAGCAGATAGTTATTTCCTGGGAAAACAATAATTTGGTTTGAAAAAAATCAAACATCTGAAATACTTTAAAACTTACCCAGGCTATGTCCTTTGACACCTATTATCGTTATCTTCTCCTGAAAATGGTAATTCGAGTGTTTCATGTCTCAAGAATGAATTCATTCTGTACCTTGGCACGCAGTGACTGCTGGCTTTGGTGACAGAACTGGCTAGACAATGACCATACCGACAAACAGCAAGTTTATGCAGCCAATAAATGTGCCAAAAACCTCAACATGACTCCACATGTCAGTTCTGTGCTTTGAAAAAAGAAGATAAAACAGACCAGCTCATTGTGTGCAAGCAAATGTCACTTCAAGCCTTCTATTGTGTGTAATTCTGGGGTTTGTCAATTTTAACTGCAGCAATCAGTTCACAAAGAGTTCTTACTAATTACCATGCTATGGTTTTATTCTTGCAAGAGATTTGCATCAGCAGAGTTCAGTTAGAGATAGTACTGAAAGCTAATCAGCTAGGCATACTCCATAGCTAGCAACCTCAGGGCATAGCGCTGAGCGGAAGCAGTTGTGATTAAAGAGGTTGAGAAGGCTGTACTTTAACTAGTCACACCTGCATTACAGTGATTAAGCAATAATCCATCTTTCAGGGAGGACTGGGGGGGTAAATTAAAACTTCCCTAGGTCAGGAAGTCACTCAGGCTCCATGACCACAGGAGAAAACCAAAAGATTGTCTTTGTGCTGGGTGCTTGGCTGTTCAATAGCTAACTCACATGACCTAAGCTTCTGCCTTCAAGCATAAAAGTGACCACAGATTTCTTGTGGAAACAAAGTTTTCCAGTGAAAGCATATGCTTGGAAAACAAAAGGAATCTGCCTAAGTTCATTGAGCAAGAATTTGCAATATACTCAACTCAGAGAACCTATCTTGTAATGAACAAATATGTAATGGCTTTTCTGGGTCAGATGTAACCTCTACATCTGCCTCTGGCAGAGAACAGGATAAGGACCCTCACCTTTGCCTTGCAGTGGTATCAACCGCAGTGTCTTTGTGCTGTGCATAATGGGCTCTGTCAGAAGAACAAGGCGGGGGGTGGGGTGGGGTGGAGGACATGACAACATGTGTCAGCTGGAGAATGGATGCTCACTGTTGGTCCTGGCACCCAAAAAAGAGCCTGTACTTTCTTCCCCAGCTATGGAATACCTGCCACCCCCCAGAGCTAGTGCGTCCCACACTGGAGAAAACCTTGAAGATCCTACAGCTGGACTACGTTGACCTCTACATTATTGAGCTGCCAATGGCTTTCAAGGTAAAAAGAAAAATGATCTAGCATCCTCCTTGCAGCTTCCAGTCCATGTTGAAAATAGCACTTTGGCCCAATGATGTTTGATATATACTGCATGCATACATTTCTGTGCACTAGCCACACAGAGAGAGGCTTCTAGGTGGTGTGAGAACAGTTATTGACAGCTGTAGCAGGTGGTCTCTCCGTTGGAAGGACAGGTCTCCTAACTGGGGCTGAACGCGTCCTCTGCTGAAGGATTACTGTAGCTGAAGCAGCACATGTATCTTGATCCTCTCTGAGCTGTGAGGCAGCAGTCACTGCAGGAAAGTGGTTGTACAAAGCAGCAAAGGGCTAGGGGCAAAGTTTGGAGGGAGAAAGGGAAAGGGGAAAAAGCCACCAAGTTGATTTCCTTACTCTCCCAAAAACTGAATAACTTCAGTAGCATTAAAGCCATTGGGCAAATCCCAGTTATGATCTTCATCTCCTGAACTCCAGTGCTCCCCTTGGACATCTTCAGTCGATCACAGTTGGTCACAAATGTGAGTTGTCCATCTCTCATTCTCAAATGTCTAAAAAGTTAAAGCCTGATATTCCTTCATACTGCTGGCTCTGGGGAACTTGTAGTCTAAACCTCTGAATGCAAGGAGCTCACAACAGAGTTGCATGCCTCCCTTTGCAAAAAGCTCTTGCAAGTCTCCAAACTTGCTGATTTCACAGCCATTTGTACCTTGCTTTACAATTTTCTTCTGCAAGTACTTGGTATAAAGGCAAATTAAATAATAGTGAAATTAGAAGGGTGAGATTCAAAATGTATTTAAGTAGTTTTGAACCAGTTAAATCTTTTTTCTTAGAAAGAACAGGGTTAGGCAGTTAGCTGGTTAATTATTTCTGCAGAACATTTAAGCTCTGAAGTGGCCTCTTTTTGCAAGGGAGAAGGTTCTCTGATTATTACAATTATATTTTACTACAGGCTTCAGACTGTCAGAAGCATCAGATAGGAAACAATTTACCAACAAAGCAACCACCTTAGACCTGCAGTTCCTTTCCCCCCCCCCAAGGAAACCATATCCCTTTAAGACCAGTATATGAGTAACTGGACTCAGATATTAAAACTTTATTTATACAGTCCCATGTATGGAATCCTTTTGGGTACATTTTTAAAAATTTCCCACCACTTCCAGTTTCCTGTTTCCCTTTGCTTGTGTTTGTATTCTCTAGTAGTTCATTCTCCCACATAGTGAAGGTCATTGTCTCACAATATAGAGATATAGACAGCTGGCTTTAAAGTAATGTACATCTGACTCCCTGAGGCCTGTATCAACAATCCAAGTTGTTAAAGGAGTAGCAGTCCTGAACATTCATTCACGTCCCCCGTGAGAGGAGAGAAAAAGAGAAGTCACTTTCTGCCTAAAAAAAAATTCTATTTTTCTGTGCCAAATACAAGAAAAACCCCCACCCTTTTGCAGTGGTGACAGGTTCCCTTTCTTTGCTCCCTTTCTCACAAATAAACCCATCCCACATGTGATGCTTGCCTTTGGTGAGGAGCGTAAAGGTGTAAGCCTAACAAACACCTACTCTGCCCCAGCCTGCAAGTGCTGGTGCTTTCCTGCCTCCCTAACAGCCTGCTAGCAAAACTAGTCTCTGCTTGGAAATCAGTGAAGAACTTGAGACAAAGCTTACAGTCCCACTCTGAAACCAGTAGGAAACATGCTTCTGCAGAGCCCAGCAGTGCAAGCTCTCATAGGGGCTTTAAGGTACCATAAGAAGTGTTGGAGAGCACCACTCAGAGGAGGAAAGCCCCACCACCCCAGCACTTATGGGCCTATGGATGAATCAAGAATGGCTGACATTCTGCAGTGACGTTATTCATTGCCTGCACCTCCCTGTATTTCTCCTTCACACAGATTCCCCATTCAGGACATCTGTCCTTCCTCCCTTTAGCCTGACGGTGGTCCTCAGCCCCTCTACCCCAGCAAGGCAGATGACCAGCAGGAACAGGTCTCCTCCAGGCCACCACATGCCCTCTGCCTGGGGAATTCATACCCAGTGGCAGGTTTTCTAGGGGGCTCTGCTCAGATGACTCATCCATCAGCAAGCAGGTAGCTGTGCACTAAGTTATCTACAAATCCTTCCCAACTAAATTATCCTGTGATCCAGTAGGAAAGCAGGTATTTCAGCCTTATATTGAACACATCTCATCCAAGTAGCTTCCTGTCATTGCAAGAGAATAGATCAAAAGAGACCAATGGCCCCACTATTTGACTTCCTATTGCCTTCTGGTTATACAATTGGCATTCACAAGTTGCTAAAATTGCTCTCTTGAGCAAGCCTGCTTGTCAAAGACCATTTTGTGAAAGCAATGGGATGTGCAGACCTGTCTTCCTGCATCTGTGTTGGTGAGGAAATTATTATAATGGGAGCAGGGATTTTCCTCTCAGTGGTTACTAGCTGCTGTGTTTTAAATATGCAAGTTAGTTGTCTGGTAGCTTTGAGTGCCTCCAGACTTTGAACATGGCATGATACGATGTGTTCCCTGCAGAATGGCAGTGACTGTAGGGTGTTGTTCCACTTATTTCAGTGCTCATACGGCAGCATGGTAGGAAGCCACCTTACGTTCAGTTTAAGGTGCGTGGCTATCTCCAAGAGAACTGCAAGAGAAGACAGCATTTGTGGGAATGACTGGTGCAGTGTAGTCCATGAGAACCCAAAGCTGAGAAACATGACCAACTTCTAACAGACTTCTTCAAAGACCCCGTAACCAGCCATCACCATCAAAACACTGTCTTTCTGTCAGCACTTTATCCTGCTTTATCCGTTAGTGGACAGTTCTTCCATTCAGAACCTTCCTTGCCTAAAAAGGTAGCTTTGCAGAGAAAGCATTGCCTGGAGACTATTGAGAAAGACAACTGTACTTCAACACCTTGTGCAGTTCCCTGGAGGCAGGGGGAAGTATTGATTCTTGCAAAAATCCACAATAGCTGGCACCACTTATCTCAGTCAAGCCAAGTTCATCTTCAAGCGCTGTGCATCCTGACTTTGTTTCCTTTATAGAATACAAGTGACAGAAATAGAGGAAAATGAGGGGATGATAAATTATCTAATGTAATTGCTGTGTATTGACTACTATAAAAAAGTAAAGTCAAACAGAAGTTAATGCATTAGAAGCAGAACAAAGTAAAAAGGTCTTGAATTCAAACACATCCTCTGAACCCAAAGAAGTCCAACTTCTATACATCAAGCTGGCAGTCCTTGGAGAGTCTCCTGGAATATCATGGGAATGAATGGTTTGTTCCAAAATACCGTAGTGTGGTTGTGTAAATAGGGCTTCTCCACCTCAAGTTGTGATAGCAAAGAGTTTGCCTTCTAATGGAAAAATGTACCCAAGAGCCACCTATATCTTTCTAGTCAATATATTTTTTTTCCCCCCAAGAAGACATAGGAACAAAGGCAACAAGTCATCTTTGTGGAATGCATTGAGGAAAACCAGCACATTTGTAGGAGACAGACATAAGTCTGTAACTTACACCTTGGCCTTTGAAATCTGAGGTTATGTTTTCCTTAGGCTCAGTTTTCCCATGAAATGCCTTGAATTTGAACTTTGTTGAATTTGGAGGCACCAGTTAACAACTGTATTAGTCACAGCTGCATCTCCTCAAGGAGTTACCATGTCAGCATCTTGTACCCAGGCCTTTGAAATGTAGCAGTCTGCAGTCAGATCAAGTGTCAAACGTCACTGCAGGGTTTTTATAAAAAAAGTGAAATTGCAATCAGACAAAAAGAAGAGAGGTGCTAATGCACTGCCTGCAACAGCAGTGAAATGACCAGCAAAATCACCGGAGAAAGCTGTGCTTGTGAGATATCAGCTCACAATTTATCTCTGAAATCTTGTTTGTGGGGTAAAAAGATAGGAAGAAAAAGTTCCTGGTGCCCAAAGAACAGTGGATAATGCACTTGAGGTTTACAGCCTGTAATATAGCTACACACATAGCCCTTTACTACTAGTAAGGAGCTCTTGGAAAAGGTCCCAACAACTACTGGGAGCTGGTACTCTTCCCAGGTGCCTAGGACACAAGCAGGATCAGGGGAAGGGCTAGGAGAAAAGGAGGAGAGGGAAGAAGTGGAAAAGAGCACAGGTTGGTACTGTAACCCAGCCCTTCGGACGCCCTAACATAAAGGTTAAAAGTTTATTGAAAAACAAGGCCATCCAGGAACTCCTGAGTGTGCACTCACATGACAGTTCAGCAGTGTATCCAAGGACGATCCAGCAGTGGAGGATGTGGTAAACCCAGGATGAATGACCCGTTGAACTTCGGGTGTTTCAGAAAGCTTTTGAATTTTTTTTGTTTGTTAGTAGAAGCAGAGTCTGTGGAAAAATCTTTGCTCCGAGGAGTGAATTTTTTTCTTTAAAGCATGAAAGTGTGCTTTTACTTTTCAGCCTGGAGATGCAATCTACCCAAAAGATGAAAATGGAAAAATTATCTACCATAAGACAGACTTATGTGCCACTTGGGAGGTAAGCAAACACAGCATCCTTCCATATATGCTTTAAAAACACAGATCCTCAGTTTTATTTATGACCTTCGTAACAGAGCTGGGGCATATTAACAGGGCAGATGGATCAAATTCTACTAGCTTCATGGATAAGTTTTACTTCTGTGCCTAGGGATGTTTCTTCTTACCATCACTTAATTTTTATAACAAAATGAAACCTTGTCACAATATCTCACATCCACATTCCTTCTTTCAGAGCATGCACTCTACATTTGGTAGTTGAGGTATCTGTAGGTTTTTACCAGTCTCTCCTCTTTATCAGATCTTTGCCCCAGGAGAAAGCTGGAGCCATGAGAAGTAACTGGATCCTCTTCAAAAAAGGGAAGCTTTTCACCTTCAAGTAAAACAGAATTTGCCCTACAGCTCACCAACAAAAAAAACCAAAACTACACACAGAAAACCCCAAACCCTTGCCATCAGAACAAGTTCACTCACTTCTAAATCTTATTATCACATGAGAACGCAAGGTTTTTCTGCTAAGAAAACTTGGAGGGAAATAGCATTTGCCTGAAAGATTGCATCCTAAATTTGTTTGTGATGCACTCTAGCCCTATAGCCAGATGTGTCCTTAAGCCTACCGCCACTTGGCTTCAGGATCTCAGGTGAGGCAGAAAGTGAGATTGCCAATCTCCTCACGCTCCTGCCTTTTGAAGCCTTGGACACTCTAATTCACCGCGAAATCTGGTCCACTCTCCTTCTGCACTAGTTCTGCTGCAAAAGCATCACTAATTCAGGCCAGTTCGCACCAAGAGAGGGAACACAGGCTGCAACACGCTCCACTCCAGCTTGCACTGTCCAGAGCTGGATAGTCATGTCCCAGTTCAGCTCTACACAAGGTACAGCAGATAAAGATGGAGAATTGGTGAAATTCTGCGCAAAAGTTCAGAGGGGGAGAGACCCAGATAAAGAGGGAGAATTGGTGACATTCTGAGCAAAAGTTCAGAGGTGGAGAGACCCCAGGGCGGGCTTGGGCTTTCCCCTGGCAGATGAGCCATCCCAGCAGGGTCTCAGGGGGAACGGGGACTTCCACATTAGCAGTTTATGTTACCCTTGCCTTTTGGCTGATGCAGCTGATTCTTCTCTTTCACAGCCTAGTCGCTCAAATGTGGAAAGCAATAGCTGTCCAAACACTATTACATTTTTATCTTCAAGCTGGTGCTTATTGTAAAGGATATATTGTAGCAGGTCACTCTCTTCAGCTACAAAGTCCAGAGGAAAATAGGTGGTGGTGAGTGCCTGCAAATAATAGCATCAATCCAAATAAAACTGGCTAAACTCAATCCAGACAATTTCACTCTCTCAGTATGGTGCTAGCAGGCAAAAATGGCTCCAGATGACTGTATCTGCTGACTTGTCACTGAGTGATGCAAAGCATATGAGGCCAACTAGAGGTCATCAAATACCTGGTACATCTCACCTCCCTGCTTTCAGCTCCTGTGAGGGAGAAAGCAGTAACAAAACTGGCGGGAGGGGCATCCAGCTCCACGGTGGGGTTGGGTCTGCCTCCAACAGTCACCGAATCATTTGTGTGCATAGCTCCTGGGAGCAAAGCGGGAGACTGCAGGAATGGACCCTCTTCCCCCTTAACAAGCCAGCAGATGAAGCTCATGGAGACCAGGGCAGGTATTGGTAGCCTGTATTCACAAGGCTTTCTCTGCTATTAGGATTTGTGTGAAGTGCAGAATACCTAAAATTCCTCTCTCCCCCACACCTTTTTTTTTTTTTTTTCTACTTTGAACTGTACTGAAGTTTTCTGTGATGGCTTTGTTCTATGCCTTGCCAGATATTTAGGTGATTTCACTGGAAAGAGACTTCATATGAAAAACTCTCATACAATCAAAGGGAATAAATTGACTTATCAGGAAAACAATCTTTCATTCACTCTCACTTCTCCAGCTTTAAGGCAGTGCTAAAGCAGCATAAAGCAAGCAAAACTCTTTGAAAGCAGATGTCTGGCACTTACCTATCTATATCTCAGATTAATCTTTCTGCTCTCCAGACAAATTCTACCTTCACAGGAGGTATAAAACATTCAGGTTTGGTCTGGAAAGCGGGTCTACCCAGGAACAGAGTTTAGAACAGTAGGATGGCACCAGCCCTTATGCTAGTAGAGCTGTTAGTTCTGCTGCAGCAAAAGTTTTTCTGCAGTTGCAAGAAAGGACTATCTTCCACCTACCCCTAAAGCACATGTTCCACGGAATCAAGCCAACATGTGGGACTCCACTGCTCTTTGCTTTCTTTGCAGGCTATGGAAGCATGTAAAGATGCAGGCTTGGCAAAGTCTATTGGAGTATCCAATTTCAACCGCAGGCAGCTGGAGATGATCCTGAATAAGCCAGGACTTAAGTACAAACCTGTCAGCAATCAGGTACGACTACAAGCCCACAGCGGTGCCTGTCCTGATGCCACTGCCCTGTGGGGAACGCAGAGGTAACAGGCAGCCCAAGCTACTGCATGCAGAAGGGTGATGTACACTTTGCCACAGACGCTGCCCTCCATACTGTCACGCTTCCACTTGTAGCTCGAAAATATTACTCATCCTATCTAGGCTAAAGATAAATATTTGGAGATGCTGGAACGATCGCTTTCCTCTGTTCCTGCTCCAGGACTATAAAACTGGTGCCTCTGTGCCAAGCTCTGTAACGAGGTTCAATGCTGAGTCAATGCAGATCTTAAATCTTTGCCATGTACCTGATTTCAAGTCCAAAAAATTCAAGACAAACCATTCTGAGCTAGCCAGTCTGCAACGAAGCCATGTCTACCTCAGCTGACTCCAAACCAAAACAACCCTAAGTATCAGCGATCCTGCCTGAGTCACTCTAAGCTTCCCAAGTTTAAAAGCCATTAGAAGTAACTCCTAGATTTCCTGTACTTGCTCTCTTGTGCCCTTCCCATAAGACATCAGTAAGAGTCAAAGAAAAACCTGAATTAATGAGGAGAACCCCCATTCAGCAAGTGACTTGAGCTGAACAAGCCCATGAAGATGACAGGCATGTCTGAGTTAAATTACAGTAGTAGGGCTCAGAGAAGGCAGTAAGTGGCAGTGACCCATCTGAATGCCCAATACCTTTGACTCTGGCATTTGGCAGCTCACTGCATTTCCTAGAAATCACTGGGCAGCCCTTCTGACTCATCTGGCACAAACAAATATCCCCATTAACAGTATCAGAGAAAAGGCCAGAGACCAACTGGGATGTGGCCTGGAAGGCTGGGATTGACATGCGACGGGGCAGGGAGGCTGGCTGTAGTCTTCAGTTCTGTCTTTGGCCTGCAGGGAAAGGCAGCCTTTGAGAGGAGGAAATTCCAGCACCCTTCAATGGTATTAACATGCCCTGCGGGTGCAAAATGCAATCGCCGTTTCTGACGTGCCCCCAAGACTGCACTGAGCATTGCTGCTGCTTCCTGAATTGAGAAAAGCAAGGCAAAAAATTTAGCCCATCTTAGGGCAGCTAGCCAGCAAGCTGTGACAGCTAGCTTCAGGCTGCCTGCAAACAGTGGTTGCTCTGTCACCTTGTAGGCATCCCTTTCCCAGAGACCAAGAATGCCAGAAGATCCCTGCTGCCTAAGGGAGTATCCCTATCCTAAGGGAGTGATGCATAATATTTGCAATGTGGGAGGGCAGAGCTTGAACAAGATCATAACCATTATGGAGGTGCCTCACCTTTTACATATCCTCCCCTCACCTTTCTATCTTGGACAGCTTATGCCAACATTTACCCTAAAAACAACATCAGATTAGTCATCCTGAATGCAAGAGGCAGAGAAAAAAAAAAAAATCTGATGGGTTAGCTTCTCAGCCTACTTCTTTAGTGAGCTTCCCTCACCTCCACCCCCCTTACTTATTGCCACCTCTCCACTGAGGGCCAGTGAAAATTCCCTGCAGCCAAATTACAATCACAGATGTTGATCTGCTGTCTATCAAAAAAAAAATCCATCACCCAGCAATGTACAATTAGACAGTAGCTACAGGTTGAGTATGGCTATTCCTTAACTTAGACATATCCTTTCCTGAAAGCAGCACCTGGTCTGTAGCGCTCAAATATTGGGACACCATCTGCTTCTGTATCTGATCCTGTTGATTAATCATTCTTTCTACGTTACTCTTGTAGGTGGAATGCCATCCCTATTTCACCCAACCCAAACTCTTAGAATTTTGCAGACAACACGACATTGTTATTGTCGGGTACAGCCCACTGGGAACCTCAAGGGATGAAACATGGTAAGTCCCCATGTTACTTTCTAATAGCAGGGCCACTACCCAGGAAAAGAATAACAGTTCTCCACTGCTGGGTCTCTGTGCAACACACCTGCGTCCCCATTTTTCACAGGAGTTTTGAGCTTCAGTGTCTAAATATTACTGTTGTGAATGTAAACTTGCAAAACTCCTGCTGCGTGCTGTCATCAAAAAACACCAGGTGTCTGTCTAGGAGGTCACCTTAGGTGTCCTCTAACAGAAAGCAAGTGTCTGCAACAGGAAATTCTGAGGGTTAGGTGAGAAAGTACAAACTAAGTCAACATTAGGACATCACATAGGAAGTTGCCTTTGACAGCCCACCAACATAAATGCCAAAGCTTTTCTCCCGTCTTTCACACTACTTGCCAAAAAGGTGCAGTATTCTGTCCACAAACCAGCAGATGCTGCTATGTTTCGACATTAAAGGTAATGAGGGTTTTTTTTGTTTTCTTTTTTTTCCAATTTTCTTCCAGGGTAAATGTGTCTTCCCCTCCTTTGCTGAAGGATCCTGTGCTGAATGCCATTGGCAAAAAGTACAACAAGACCGCTGCACAGGTTGCTTTGCGTTTCAGCATCCAGCGAGGTGTGGTGGTCATCCCAAAAAGCTTCAATCCACAACGAATCAGAGAGAATTTCCAGGTAAGTTTGTACTCTGATGGTGCATTGATGAATCCACTTACATGGGCTTAGCCCCTATAGAAGGCAATTTTCCAATTTCTTTCTGTAGGCACAAGGCTTGACCAGTGTCAAGTTTTGTCACATTTCATGACTTTTGTCCCCATCACTTAATGGTACTACAATATGACGACAATAGAGCAGAGTAGAGAGGAAATTTTGGTGTCTTTAACCCTCTGAAGTGGCTAAAGTTCCAGCTGGTTGTGTATCCCAGAGCACCAGCTGCTACAGTGAGCAGCACAAGCAAGATGAAGTAGTTCGTTGGGTCAGCAGCCCAAGGTTGCTGGCTATAGGTGTTTGGGAATGACCAGGTTGTTTTGCCCAGTCTTCAGGTACAGGGCAGCTTTTATAAGGAAGGATTGTTGCATACAGATGTGCCAGAAAGGCTCATAACCACACCACCAGAAAGCATCTGGCTTGACTACCATACCCAAATAAGCATTTGTTCCCATGTCCCTTGCAGCACTCCCCACACCGCTCCCCACTTTCCCTGCCAACGTATTGCTTCCAAAGCTGGTGGCCCAGTACTTGCCAGACTCCTCCTCTTCTTGCAAGAGAGTGTCAGCAAATGTGACTGTACTTACTCATGTCCTTAAGACTTTTCTATAAATACAAGCAAGTATGGATTTGTGGGGGAGATTGCAGGGGGGGAGGAGGATAGATTGGATTTCTGAAATCTGGAATGTATGAACGTTGATTGTGTCAAGAAATGCTAACTTGTTCCTAACCTCTCCTTCCATTAGATCTTTGACTTCTCACTCACTGAGAAAGAGATGAAAGAAATTGAAGCCCTGAACAAAAATGTTCGTTATGTGGAACTGTTAATGTAAGTTCGGGAGGAACCCTAGATCCCCACAGAACATCCCTGTCTTTTCAGATGATTAAAAAAAAAAATCACTTCCTTTTAATATTAATTTTTGTATAAACAACCTTATTTTAAAGTAAGGTTTAATTACAGGAGGTCTTTAATGTAGCCTGAATATGCTCCTGTACCCATTGCAAAAATAAGTGTGCAATACTTACAGCTCAGATATCAAAAGCCCACCTAATAGAAACTGACTGTATCTGGCTACTCCATCTCCTTAAACACTTTCTGCTGTATGTTGTAATGGCAATCTCAGCCACTCACATGGTGTAGCATTGCCCCTGTCTAGCAGTGTGGCTATCGGAGCTGAAACGAAAATAGGAGCACTTTCTTTTCTTCCCTCTCCTTCCTACCTTCACGTCCAGTGCTCAGCAAGCCGTGTTGCTGCTTGAGTACAATGGCTTATGGATTGTGAATCTAGTGTTTCCAGAGGCAGCTTATCCTAAATTGCCGTGTGGAAGGCTAAGGGTTAAGAGCACTGCTACGTGAAACTACAGGGCTGATTTAGGGAGGGCTCTGTTCCTTCTCACTGAAGACTTCAGTCAGAACATTAAAATTTGCCTGCCCAAATTCCCTATAAAAAATGTTGAATCTTAGTGACCACAGGTGGTCAGAAAATTGGTTTTGGCCTTCCCTCTGACACTGTCTTCTTCAGTGTTGTGGTCTAACCTGGCAGCCAACAACTAAGCACCAGACAGCCACTTGCTCTCTCCTCCCCTTCCTCCGCAGCAGGATGGGGAGGAGAAACAGACAAGAAGGGAAACTCATGGGTTCAGATAAAGACAGTTTAATAAGACAAGAAAGGAAATACTACCAATAATAATAATAATAATGAACATGCAAAACAAACTTAAAATTATATGGTATGGAATATTTCCACTGGCCAGCTTGGGCTGGCTGCCTGGCTCTGCTCCCTCCCAGCTCCTGCACACCTGCCCATTAGCTGAACATGGGAAACTGAAAAAAGTCCTCGATTTCTTAGCAACAACTAAAAACACCAGTATATTAGCAACAGTCTTCTCATACTAAATCCAAAACACAGCAGCTACTGGGAGGAAAATTAACTCTATCCCAGCTGAAACCAGGACATTCAGTAATCTCCCTCTCCTGCCATGATGTTGAGTTGTACCTTCTTGTATGTAAAGCAGAAAGCCATGCAGCTTGTTTGACTGCTAGACCACTTCCTAATTATGTGTTCTGAGAACTAACAAGGTTTGATCTCTTGCTGCTTGTGATCTAAAGCTTACCACCCAATGTAATTTTGTTTCTCCTGAAGGCTACATTACCCCAGAAGGCTCAAAGTAACCCAACATCTCCACTTCAGGAGAATGACCCCATTAGTTTTTCCTTTGGCTCGAAAGTATGTACAGTTTATGGCCAAACTTTATGCTTTCAGCTTTTCAGGGCACTCAACGTGTAGCCACATACTAAAGCTCAATTTCCATGCATTGCTGTATTTACCTTGGTTTATCTGTGTCTTGCCAAACTGTAGTGTGCTCAAGCACTAAAAATAATGAAAATCAGGAGCTTCATAGCACACTAAAGTGTTGACTATTGCCCAAAAGATGGGAGGAATGTCGCAAAGGAACAAAAACCACTTGTCGTCCTGCATAAATATAATTGGAAATACGGACTACGTTAAAAACACCATAATAGAGTTCATCTTTCACATTTAAGTTCAGCCAGGTGCTCTGAAGCTTTAGTTTCTGAAAACGTGAAATAGCCTTCCATCAGTTAGCAGCGCTTAGTTCCAGAAGGCTTCTCACAAATGGCCTAGCAGATTCTTACGTGTGTTTTGGTATTCAAAGTTGTTTGGTTTTTCATAGCTACATTGAGCTATAACATCATTTAAACTTTTAGCGATTATATAAACGAAATGTAACCTTGGTGCAAACGCAAGACCCTTTTCCAGAAGCAAAGTTAAAGGATGTAGAGGCCCACAGGAGAAGAACTTTCTAAGCTACCAATCCAAAAACTAATAAACTAAATACTTTGCTTTATTAGACTAGATTTGGTCACAGGGGGCCACTGAGGACAAGGATAACAGGATGCATAGAATGAACATTGCCAGCTCTATTTTTCACAGGAGTGCTATGTTTGGGGAAAGTGCTTAAGTGAAGTGTGACCTCAACTGTAAAATATGCCGCCTTGGAAAGGTGCTATAAGGAGCAGTTAAACATATACCTGCCTACTGTGTGTTCTCACACTGAAGTGTTTGGAGTTGACACTGCAACAGATGAGTTACCAACCTAAAGAGATTTCTTATTTCATCCAGCAATATGCATCTGAAAGTCAAACAATCATACAGAAAGACTTCCGGTTAGTCAACTTCATGCAAAACCTTCAGCTGCTGTGTTGTATCAGCTACCATGGGTACTGGGTGCAAATCTCTTGTTCTGATGGTGTGAGTAAACCCATACTAACAGAATATTGCAGTCAGTGGAATGAATTAACACGTTAAGTAGCTGAGCAGAAAATGGAGGTTTTGTAAAAATAAGTACTCCAGGAAATCCCAGCCCAAAATGGTTTCTTCTCCCCTTGGAGAAATCCAGAAGTATTGTGCTGGGCCAGTTTTACATTAATCTGCCTGCTTGATTTATGTTGTGCTCCTCGTATCGGCTGTGGATATTCTTTCTTACCTGTTACTCCAAGCTGCATTGACTCCTCTGAGTGAATCACTTTCACTCAAAGGACTCAGACCTGTGAACATGTGAGATCTCGTTAGCAAGCGTGCTCCACAGACAGAAAGTAGAGATTACAACACTGGAAACTCAGACATTGTCAAATTATACTGAAACCAAACAAGCCAAACTGTTGTGGCTTGTTTTTTTGAACCAGCTCAATCTGTTAATGTGCAAACACTTTAGCTTGGCTGAATATTGGAATGAAATGTTTTAACACAACCAATTCAAAATGTTTGATTCCTTCCAGTTAGTTAACTTCAATATTGTGAAGTGTATCCTTCCCAGACTGAAGGATTCACAGCCGGGATAAATGCCTGTATTTGTTGTTCTCTGCTGTAAGGCAAGGCAGCCAGCTGCCATGGTGCACCTGAGAACGTTCTTCAGAAGTTTTTGATTTTGCTAATGGAAGGTGTTTGTCATCCAAGGCTTGTGGTTTAGCATCATATTCTCAAACAAACAGGAAAACCCACCACAAAAACTATCCACCTCTCTCCCAAGTCTGCCAATAATGGGCAGTGTTATTTTTTCACCTGCAGTTGACCCTGGGAATTTTCTTCTTGCCTTTTCTAATGATCCCAGATCATGCATCTTCGCTGAGCACAGAGTTTTTAAAATGAAGCCTGAAGTGTCTTTACCTTTGGTAGTATGCAGCCATGAACATCCCTTTCACCCCTGAACTAGGTCACTCCAAAGCTTCTTTGTAAATTCTCTGCCACTGGTGCTATTAATCTGGCAGAACATCTACATTTAGGCTGCGCTAGAGGACAGCCAGACTTAGTCTGGCTATGGAAGCCATTTGGAGAAAGCCCCGTACCAGACCCAGGCCTGTTCATCCCAGCTTTAAGTGCATAAGCCAAAGCAGTACAGTCTGGTGTCTTCACCTCTCCTTCAAATATAGCCCTTATTTTTGAGAGTCTAGACATCTGAACAAAGAATTTTTCCCCTTCCACAATGCACACATAGTGAAGACATCCCCCTTCCCTACAACACTCCTACTAACCTGAGTTAAATCCACAAATATAGTGACAATAGCTGACATCCAAACTCTTCCCCCTCCCCCATCTGTCCTTAAAGTACGCAGTCTGTAGGCCTGAAAAATGCCCCTTCACTGTCATCTCCTTAAATGTACAGGTTTGCTTCCAGCTCTGCAGGGAAGATTAATCAGAGCAGACAGCTTCTGAATAAGTAGAAGAGCCTTCCGTGAAGGCCACCTATATATTGCAAGGAAGAGCAGATGTTTGCTAGGTGCAGGATGACTGTATCAGTGATGTGATATTCTGCTTCACCCAGGAAGCTCACTTGTTCAATCTGACCTATCCACAGGTGGCGTGACCATCCAGAGTATCCCTTCAGTGATGAATACTGAAAACAAAATCTGTCCGGGCAGGTTCCTAACTCAGTGCCATTAGGCTTCGCTGAAAGAGACCCAGCGTTTGGTGCTTTGACTTCAAGGGACACTGCTCAACTCCGCATTAAAAACATGACACTTCCTCTTGTTTTGTCAGTGTCTTATTGCTACCGAAGAGCAAATCTGTTTAACCTCCTGAATGTCTGTTTTTGGCTTAGGAGGCTTTAACTCTGAGCACTGAAGCTTCAAAACCGACAGCTGATATAATTGAAGATTTCTCTTGAAAGCAGGCTCACTAGTTCGAGCCAAATCATTTTCATTCAACAGGACATTCTTCACCGAATTTGAAACAACAAGTTCTGCTTCAGTAGAGGTGAAGCAGTATAATTTTTGTTTCACAGCTCACGTGAGAGCAAGTTCGGTGTAGGGAACTAATTGGATTTGAGATATACGTATGCACATATGTATATTGATGTATAGATACATTCACTGCTTCATGCAGTGACACCTGTTTCACTCTGACTAGAGTATTCTTTAGCTACACACGAGCTGCGTTCCATAGGTACACCCCAGCTGGCTCCGCATACAACTAGTTCGAGCCCTAAAGAGTTGTACCCATGTTGATATCCCACCCCTACGTCAGCTGAGGCCCTCAGTGGAGCACAGGGGAGTCTACGACTATTACATCTATACTTGAGCTGCTATACGAGAATGGCTTTGCATACTGTGCATATGCAACCTGGAGACAGCACTAGTGAGAGCCTCATACCACAAGAATAAAAATCCCTTAACCTTCTTTCCTGCTCTGCAAACTGGTTCACTCCAGAAAATGTCTTTTTACTTCAAAAATTCTTAGTCTTTTGTATAAAGTTCTGACCAAGACAAAACTGAATGAGTAAGCCAAGTTTTAAAGGAGGAGAAAGTTGTATTTTGTTAAATACCACTTTCTGCCATGCTTTGAGACTGGAGAAAATTGGCAGGTCCAAGCAAGGAGTAGGAATCAGGCAAAAGAAACTGGGCTGAAACCTGGACAATTCTTTCAATCTGTCCCCAGCTCTCCAAAACTTGGGGACAGGAGCATGGACACCAGGGTAAGGAAGACTGACACCTTCAGCACGAATTTCTTTTTCGGAGGTTATGTTTGCTCAACAATTTTTGCAGCCTGTAGGTATGTCAGCCTATACCCACAATTGCAGAAGGCTACTTTCGTTTCCTCTAGTACCCAAGTACTCCAGTTTGCTGCCACAGATAGGGTACACTAGAGAGGTATTGGAGAAGAAACTGAACCATACGCAGAGTACTTTGTGTACTAAAACATGCGTACTGCTGTTGGAAAATGGGTCATACAGAATCTTCAGTCCATAGCATCTGCTTTTATTTCTTACCATTGATATTTGTTATCCCCAAAGTGACTCCACCAGGAAAATGTCAGAGCATACCGCTTATGGAGACCCTTCTGTTTGGTCAGGGTGTGGTCCTCAGAGCTGAGGCAGAGAGGTACTGAGGTGACCATTTCACAGGAGGAGCGGGCAAGGCTCCGCATGGGTCTAATGCCAGTGAAGCCCTGGGTGAGCTCAGTAGGCACCACTAAAGAAGCCTCTTCATGAGGACAGGGGGGTGGCCTTCACGTAGCATTTCTAAACCCATTTATAAAGCTGTGTCAACAAAGGAGCATTCTACTTGTCGGAGGTTACCCAAGGGCAATTCTCATTTTATTCTATTACCCACTTAGACCAGAGGGGGAAATAAAAGAAGGTGGGGGAGTTATAGCTGAGGAGGAAGATGAGACATTAGAAGTCTGCTGGTATAGATCTAAGGACAATCCCAAGGTCAGGTGGAGCTCTGCTCCCAGGGGTGGCCAGAACCACGATCACAGCCCTGTTTTGCCCCTTTGCAAGCAGCTGAGGGCCTGGCCAAAAGCCTGAACAAAATCCAAGTCTAAATAAAAGTGCCAGAGGGCAGCACAGTTACCGCCATACCCAACGTGTTGTTCCAGTTGCTTCATAAGTACAAGCCTTAAATAGAGCTACGAGGCCTCAAATGCTTAACAGTAGCACTGTACAAACTTTTGCACTGTAACTTGACCAGGTGCAGGTCTCCTGCCACAGCCAACATTTGGGCCAGGTTTGGCAAAGCTCTTGTTTTCGACACTGCAAATGTCAACTAATGCTCAGCTGAAACACTTACAGCAGCCCCTTTGCAGCTAGCGGCTCCTTCCAGACGTCTCCCCCAGAAATTAGGCCGTGCCTGAGGTTCTAATAAATCTTGACTTTGTACGTGTGAGTAAGGAAGACAACATGCTGAAGCCTCTAACAGGAAACACCCTATAATCAAGTCTTCAATCTACTGAGTTAATAGATTGTGAGAGTTCCCCCAGCTCAAGTCATGCCAGCAAATCCCTTTTTTTCCCCTCCCCTCAAATTTTAATAGAATCCTCCTCCTTTGCATTGCCTCATTTGAATCTGGTGAAAAAGGTTCAGCCTCTTCCCAGGGACAAATGCTCCCATACTCATTTTCATAGGTTATGAAACTGCTACTGACGTCTAGCCTAGTTTTTCCCCTGCTTTGCTTAGTTTCAGACCGTTGCTCCGCATTGTTCTCCATCTTGCCCTACAAAGAAAAGGTTTAGAGGAACAAAATAAACAGGGCTGCAGATGGGGGCTTGGGAAACACATTCCACCGGCAGCTGCACAAAGGGACAGAGAAAACCCAAACCCCAGCCTCACGTACAATCCGCTCACATCTAGCAAATTTCAGGGGCTTGTTGAACACACTGCCTGGTGCAAAGCACGTCGCTTGGAAGCGCCGCACACAGCCCTGCTCCAACTGGAAGGGTCAGGCACGGACAGAGGGGGCTCCAGCACCTCCTGCTCCGATAGCAACCGCACGTGACAAGAATAGACCCAAGTGTGTACCAGGAAATCTTACTCACTTTTACCGTAAGTAACCCGAGTAGTTTGTGACTCTTCCAGTAGCTGCAAAGTGAAATGAAATCCAGACCAAAGAAGTTTGCTTCAACTATGCACAAGTGACCTTATGGCAAAGAGAAGAACAAGTAATGCAGCATTTTAGGCCCTTTTTGCAGCCCAACAGCTGCTCCGGTCCGGCCAGCAGAAAGCCAGGTGATCTGCTCACACCCCCAGCAGCAAAACAGTCGCCACAGCCATAGATCAGAGCATGGGCTGTCAGAGGAAGAGGCATTCCCTGTCGGCACACAAGCTCAGGGAAGAGCACAGGGCTCACAGCTTGGCCATTCCTTGGGCACGTGCATGCTCATGCTTAATGGCTGCAGCAATAAGGAAGCACTGCTGAGCAGTTATCGTGTGACACGGTGGCATTACCCCCCCCGCACTACATGGTTAGCCGAACTTGTTTGCCCATGGGGAAGCAGAGCTTCATCCTCCCCAAGACTAAATAAGTGCGTGACCTGGATAGGCTGGAAAGCTGGGCAGAGAGGAACCTGATGAGGTTCAACAAAGGCAAATGCAGGGTCCGGCACCTGGGGAGGAACAACCTCATGCACCAGTACAGGCTTGGGGTGGACCTGCTGGAGAGCAGCTCTGCGGAGAGGGACCTGGGTGTCCTGGTGGACGACAGGTTAACCATGAGCCAACAGTGTGCCCTGGCTGCCAAGAAAGCCAATGGGATCCTGGGGTGCATCAAGAAGAGTGTGGC